TTCACGATCACAGCAAATGGGCGATCAGTAAGACATCGACCGCACCGTACGTCTGCTTCGGAGACATTAACCGAATGAAGTCTCAGTTCAAGAGAGGCGGCGCTACCACTTGTTTCAAGAACCCTCTGGTCTGGAAACACATGAATGAATGGGTCAGTAAAGTAGACAAATGCGGCAAATTGTGGTCACTATTGACCCAACATTTGAATCGTTAAAAATAAATTGTAATAATAAATCCATTTGTATTTTCTTTATTACTAATTAAAAATCAAACCAATAAAAAGTTTGATAAAAACATTTCGATAAGAGTTGAACAAAGTTTCAGATAATTCACAATAAGTGATAAAATAGCGCTTTTAAAAACAATTGCATATAAAATATTTGATAAAATGTGATAAAATATTTACAAAACTCATAACAAGAATACATTTTGAGGGTATTATGAGCTAAGAATTCATGATAAATCTTTTGGTTGCTTTGGCTTTGGATGAGATATTACAATGTGTGCCATAAAGAGGTGCATAACATTTGTTAATATTATTACTTGAATAATCCAAACCACTCTTATTCCTCGAGTTATTGTACAGATCTGATGGAAACTCTTTGATCATAAACTTCAAGTCATTTAATATGAAATTAGTTCCGCCGCTAAGACTAGAGCCACAGTAAATCCTCATGTGTTTGACCGCTGTTTTGGCAAAATATAAGTATTGCGTTGAATAGCACTGATAGTCCGTATAATCGGCTATTCGTCTCCATTTGTGTCCATCGGTGGAGACCTCGACGTAATACGAATACCCGGTTCGGCAACAGTTGCCAAACTCTAACTCAATATAATTACCGAAACGAATGCAATCGAAAACAAACGAAACACTTCCGGGTATTTTCTGGACGACTGACACAATTGGCTCAAACTTATGGCAGTAAAGGACAGACTTCTCAACAATAAATGGCGAAATGGATCCCAAGTCTTCAACCGGTTTCACACATCGGCGGTAATTGTTAGAGATTTTGGGTCTGTTGTCGATCGATGTCATCAACTCTTCTCTGGCAAAAAACCCTGACATAAGTATTGCAACAGAAAACATATCATTAGAGTAAATACAGTAATCAAAAGTTTAATATTATATAATAATTTTGTAACACATGATAAAGTGAAACGATTTTCCTCATAATTATGTCATACCTGAGGGCCAGACGTAAGCAATCAAATCATTCCAACAAATCAAATGCAAACGAACAGTAGATATGAGTTCTTCGCACAACTCTTCGTTCAATTCTGGATTCAATTTAATGTATTTCATAATTGCATTGAATATATCAATCTCTTCGGCGCAAAACTCGTCGCTTGAAAACAATTGAATCAATGTTTGCGAACTGAGACTCAGAAGCGATGAATTGGATAATAGTTTATATCCTTTGCGTAAAATAAATTGATGGCAATTCTCAAGAAGCGGACACATGTTGAATAGAGAGGCCGTCGCGTGTATTAAACACACGTTATCTTTATTTATATTCAATTCTAGGTATTCAGTGATCGCCGAAACCAATTCATGCATTTCGTATCGATGGCCTAATAGACAATATAATTCATATTAATTAAAAAATAATTACAAATAAATAAAAAATTAATAAAATTTTTCAAAAAGGAAATGAATGAAAATTAATGGTAAACTGACTTAAATATAAGACATCGATGATATCGTCGACTTTCTTATTATGCAAGTGAATGACTCCGGTATACATGAAATAGAGTACACATTTGAAGGCATCGATTGGCGTCTCATTCACTTCCACTTCATTATCGATGGACTCTCGCAGACCAGAGGAGAACATAAGTCGGAAGTATTCGCACCGAAGGATTAAAACAAATTTATGGGCAAATATGCGCTCATTTTCAATGATAAACACGACATCACTCGCCCTTTCGTTCAGATAAAGAGCCGATAACTCATTGAGTAGTGTTTGCGATAGATTTATAATGTCATTGCAATGGTTTGGATCCATCATTTTGTCACTCGTTATTCACTCGTTATATAATAAAGATGTCTAAAGTATTGACAATTTAGTCGCTATAAACAATATGCAAATATAGTTGTGATGTCAGGACTTGACATTTAAATAATCGTCACCACAATTGTCTTGATGTAAGTTTTGCAAACTTTTTACATAATATGAGAGCATTTGTTGAGCCAATAAAGTGAACGCAAAATACATTTCTCACGTGAAATCACCTGAAAATTATTTACAACATTATAATTAAGTTTCCCAAAAATTTATTTTAAAAAATCAATTCCTTATATGTTTTTGTTTTTATTGTCATAAAACTGGTAATAAAAGTGACGCTTTTTATGACAAAAATAACATTTCTTTCAAGGAATTCATTTCAATAACTTTAAGAAATTTTGACAAAACAGTCAAAGAATAAAATCTGTTTATACATCAAATTAAATAAAACCAGTTTCATAACTATTTCGTAAAAATGTTTATATTTATATCAAACTTGTAATAATTTTACAAATAATATTCAAATATTAATTAAGACATATGTATTGAATCTAATACATTACTTGATACTTGGTAATTCAAACCATTCGCAAAACTCAATCAATACAAGGACTGCAAAAGCAAATGCCAAACAACATAAAACTTAATACGAATATAACTATTGGTTTTGAATAACACTTTAAACACCTTTTATTTCTTTGACTTTACTTTTCAAGGATTTTAAAATATGTTTTTTATGAATATATTGTGTGATAATAATCAGACAAAGAGAGGATAAATCTGAGAAAATGGGCTTTTGCTTGACGTCTGTA